AGTGGGCAACCATGTTTATATAACTGTTGATACACCAGGCCTCGTGAAACTGGCAGAAAATGTTTTACCTGGTGATCAGAGATCGCTGTGGCTGCTCTGTTTTCCTCTGCACACAACTGAACGAAACTGCATTTTTAGTCATCAACTGAGCTCTCAACTGTGATAAATCCTTGAATACAAACTGCAGGTGAGCCAAAATACTCTTAAGTAGTCTGAAAAGTCAAGACTCGGCTTTCTGTGTAACATGTTGCCAGTGTGTGAATGGAAATCAAAGCTTTTAATCAGAAAGCAGAAAAGTGCATTTCAAAGTCATACATCACTCTCCCCAAACAAGGAACAGCACATATTGCTTGGCTGAATTTGTTGAATGTATGTATTTGTATGTGTGTGTTCATAAATACAATACAGCAAATAATAATAATTATAATAATTCAACAAAAGACAAAAGAAATAAATCCACATTATATTATTTCTCATTACCAGAATGAACCAATACAATAAATTAAAATGATAAGTGAACAAAAAAGTCCATTAAAATTGCTATATATATATTCATACTGTATATATAGTATTTGTTTTGTCTTTAGTCAGCCTTTCTGGTGCATGCTCAGTGGTGACCATAAGTGGTGACTGGCAGCAGTAGGAAGGGGGGGGGGGGGTCTTTTAAGGAGCTGAGGGGTCATTAAAGCGACACCCTCATCATCATCCTGAAACCTCAGTCCCATCCTGCTTTTAACACTGGAAACAAGGGAGCCAAAGTCAGGACAAATACACTATGCTTTTTTGGGAGGGGGTGACGACACTGCTCGTCGCTACTAGTCTTCAGCTCAAAGTTTTCCGTTAATAAAATGCCGAGCAGCCTTCACTGTTGGATGCAGTACCACCTTTAAAATAAGTCCTTTGGATCTCTCTGCTTTGTATTGTGGTGATGTGAGAAGGTTGTGCTGTTAAAGAGTCCGTTACGGTTCTTGTGCAGAGTCTGTAGCAGGCTGAGCCTTTGAGAAGAGGTGGAGGGGTGGGGGATGTAGCCGTGCGAGGTTCTGAGGCTTTCTCACATTGGGGTGAAGCTTTGGGAAAACACATGAGGCTCGGTTCAAATCACAAGCTATACACCCACTGACGCACGCCACATCTGATCACAGGCAAGCTGTTTGTGTCTGGACTCTGTCAAAATCAGGGGATTCTATGTAATAAGGATGCAAAGTGACACTTGCCCTGGGTTGTTTCTTTTTATTCAGGACAGAGCTCAGAAAAATAAAGAGTTTCAGTACCACCAGTCACCCCCCTGGTACCCATCCCTCTCCCAGACCTGTATGAGAGTTCAGAATGGTTATGGTCTGCTAAGCACCACATCTGAGGCTCTGTCTGTCCAAGTGCAAAGGCTAGTTCACTTACTAACCTTTTCACATTAACCATCTGCTTGTGTATCTATTTGTCCTTCTCTCAGTTGGAGTCTTTAATACTGTCTGTGATTGGAGCACAAAATAAAAAACTCTTCTGCTCCCTCTCATATGTCCTCTTGTTGAACTCCCTCTAACCAGGTCAATTTTTGCCCCCAAGGGACAGCTCTGATTATGTCCATTATCTGTCAGGATACCTCAATAATCTCCATGCTCCCAGAGAAGCTTGACTGCTTCCCAATCTTCCCAAGTTCCTCTCTAGAGTGTGTCTCGGCGATGCCCTCCTCAAACTCCATCTGACAACTGCGCCGCTTGAATTGCTTCTCTGATGCAGGCCCGCTGTTATTCGAGCTGTTGGAGGTGGTCACTGTGGATGATGATGTTGAGTCCCGATGGTCTCTCTGTGTCTGTGGTGCCGCTGGCATCTCCCTATGGGATTTATCTCGTAACTGCACACTTTCACTGCACCCAAATGCCACATATGCTGAACTGCTCCCAAACCTCATCGACGTCTCCTCTCCCCGTCTGTCACCTCCACCTCCCAGCTCCATCTCTCCGTCACCACCTTCCTCTGCCCCAAAGTGCCAGGGGGCATCTGTGGTGGGGGTGACAGGAGTGGTGGCCTGGACAGTGTCTCTGTGTTTGGTCCACATGGCCCCGGACCCCGGGGTGGGAAGGGAAGGTAGTGACAAGAGCAGCGTGCCCTTTAGATTCTCGTCTACGCTGGGGCTCTTGTGGTCCAGCGACAAGCTGAGGGAGTGTGGAGGTTGGTGTAGTTGGGAGTGGACTGGTGAACTGCTGGAGCTGTGTTTGGCTTTTCTCCTGGGTCTGGATGATGAAGACCCACAACGATGGATTCCTTCACTTCCTCCAAACCCCAAACCTCCGATGCTGCCCCCACTTCCTGGTGAGGGGAAAGGTGAATCAGAGGAGCTGGGGCTGTCTAGGACAGGAGACTGGGAGCAGACACCATTAGAGGTGCCCGTCCCAGGGCTGTCAAGCTTGCACAGCTTGGGGACATCTTCAGAGTGTGTGGGCACCAGGCTTAGGCAATGGGGGCTATTGGGAGAGTAGACAGACTTAATGTCCAGGGAGAAAGAGCGTTTGAGCCGGTTAGTGTCCATGATCCTCTCTGCAGAGAGGTGTAGGCCGTTGAAGCCTTGCTGAAGGGAGATGGGTGAATGCAGCTTGGGTTCTGGTTGGATGTGTGGCTCTACCAGAGAGGAGTCACAGTTGCTGTGGTGACCGTTCATCTCAAAACCTATACTGACCCCTTTAACCTCTGAACTTTGCTTAGTGGTATTTTCGGAGATCTTGTCATCAGAAGTGGAACTTAAAGCTTGGAGTAATCGCAGGCCCTTCTCAAACTCCAGCAGCTGACCCAGGAAGTTGAAGTTGGGGGATATGGATGGTCTTCGGTCCTTTACAAATCTGTCAGGAATGTTGGAAAAAGGTTAGTCACATGAACTCGGTTGTAAAGAGTGGCATTCCCCTCTGTGGCTAAGGTTTTACAGTAAATCATGTCGGAATTAATAAGATATCCTGAGGAATTTTTAAGGTCAGAATAACTGTTTTACTAAAGCAGTGAATCGCTGAGACTTGCACCTTAGCTCAGTTGGTGGTGTATGGGAGGAGCAGGCATACCTGTAGGCATCATCTGATGACAAGCCCATTGTCTTCATGATGTATGCAATGGCAATGGTTGCAGAGCGTGAGATTCCAGCCAGGCAGTGCACAATGACTCTGCAGTTTGACACCTTAGCTTTGTCTGCCAAGGAGGAAACAAAGAGTTTATGAATATGGACAACTATCCACAAATGTGCATAGTCCCTGACAGGTCCCATCTTTAGCAAAACGTCTCTGGAGACAATCACCCCCCTGCTGAAAGCAAAGAGACATTTCCTGGAAAGAGTACAGGAGATCATCTGAAAGGGGGAGTTACACCTGACGTTATTGTTACCAAAGCTACACGTGAACGTTTATTAACTGTGACAATATGTGGACATGTTGTATTGAATATTACACAACACACATATCACATCACTTTAACATATAACTTCAGATGAATTCACTTCCTTGTAAAAGCTCAGTGTTGATTGTGATTTCTACTGTTAATCTTCATCAACACATTATTTCATGTTTAATCATATTTCCCAGCCACTTACCTATGAATTCATTAGTTTTGTCGAGCCAGGGAAGTAATTTCTCACAGTAGTTGTCATTGACTGGGATGCGCATGAAGTGGCTCTCGCTGATGAAGTCTGGCTTGGGGCAGGTGTTGCTGGCATTCAGCACGTAGGTGATACCATTCTGAGCCATCAGATCCTACAGAGATACAGGTAAAAGGGGTTTACGGTCACGTTTTGTTGCCAGGTAACCATAGGTCGCTTATCTGTTTTTTTTTGACATTGTAGAAAAATGAAAAGATGCAAAACAAATTCTACCTTGTTGAGCACATCCTTCTGTGAGCCGAGGTAGAGGTGTGGCAGGATGCGAGTGGGCCCTACATTAGCCACAGGCAAGCAAGGCTGGGACAAGCTCATAGGTAGAGCAGTGGAAGGCTTCCCTTCACACAGGCCGGGGAAGCAGGAGGAGAAAGCAGCAAATCCTCCTGCAGAGAGAAGAAAGAGAAAGAACTGCTTAGGTGCACTAATAATTTCCCATACAGCAGTTACACACATACTCTGCAAAGACTCTCATGGACTCATCAATAGCACTGCAGAAAAAAAAACTGCACCTCTATTAGCAGAGCAGACAGGCACTCTGTAGATTTTCAGAGGTGAGTCCAGGCTACAGTATCTGGGTCTTGCTTAGTGCAACAGGAGCAAAACAGAGGCTCTGTTTGAGTTAGGTAAAATGCTGGGCAGCCAGGAATGTGTGTGTCTGGCTCTTTAAGAGGCAGGCGGCTCCACTTTTGGCTTATGTGTGTGTGTGGCTCTGTTTCCTGCATGAGCTCATGTCCTGTAGCAGAGCATTGCGTCAGGCTGGGGGAATGAGAGAGGCCACAGGTGCAGGGCCAGGACAGAGGCCCAGTAACATCCCCCTGACAACCACACAGCACACACACATTTGCATGCTAACAAGATGATACACACCAACATAATCACAATTTCTTGCAGACAACATACTCTCAATATTCATTCTCACTGTCTATAATTCTGTCTGCACAATGTAAGCCAGGCTTACCCCTTATCCTGCACACACACACATAATCTTCATTACTCTGCAGTGCTGCATTTGGATAACTACAGGGTGGGGGCCAACAAGTGGAGGTGTGTGTGTGTGTGTTGAGTAATGACCTCGCTAAAGAGTGTAGAGAAGGGAGGGGAGTTCTTCAAGGAAACTCTGAGTCCAAGAAAGGAGATTACAACTTAATCTGTCGGTTCAGTCCTGCCTGACCCAATCTGGGGTGTAACACACATGTGCATGCACATGCACATGCATGGTCACAGAGTGAGAGTGAGTGAGACATGACATCACTGCTCTAAAGTAGCACACACAGCACAGCACAGGCAGGACATTGTAACACACACCCAGCTGCACTACTCATGTAGCAAGGGGCTGGTCAACACACACACTGAGCACACAGTGTCAGCAGCATGTACTGTGTACTCAACAGATAAGAGGTCCAGGAAAAAAATGTTTAAAAATTGCAAATGGTCAGAGGACAGCAGTTTTGGTATTTGGAGCTATTTCACAACACCACAGCTTCTGAGGCTGGGGGCATCCTCTTGACCCAGTACAGTTCTTGGTGCTCTGTCCCTTTAAGATCCAAGTGTCTGTTTCCTGCTATTAATGGCAACTGGTGAAGCAATGACATCAGTGCTCCACATGGGGGGTGGAGTTGAGAGAAGAATAGATGGATAGATACAAAAAGATGCATGAGATACAAGAAGGAAAGCTTAATACAAAGAAAGAGAGGCTGCTGTCATAGCCTGACTCAATGATCGAACCAGTTTGGCCTGTATAGACTACACAGACATTTGTAGATCTCAGCTTGGCCCTAGACTCCACTGGCTCCACCAGAGCCTCTTCCTAGTGAATGTTTGGGCGGTGCTACAGCATCACTGAGTGATAAAACAGAGAGAGGGAGGGTAGTTCTTTGCTCTTGCTTTAGTTCTTGCTGGTTCCTCAGTTCCCAACGCTGCTGGTGTGGAGCCTGCACACACACACACACACAAAGAAAATAAATAGTACTACATATAGCCCCCGCCATTGTCATATACAGTATCTGTGTGAGGAAGTTAACTGTCGCTGGAGATAGTTAAATCAACAGGAAAAGCCTCACGTCACACTTTAACCATTTCCCTTTCTATGCAAGGACATTGTTAGAAAGTTGTTAGAAGGACAGAAGACAGGACGTTCCACAGTGGAGACAGTATCCGACACTCCACAGAAAGTGTGTTTATGTGTATGAAGGGAAGTGAACACGCAAATGAAAATGCCCTTCTAAAAATATTCTCAGCCTTCGATCTCATGTGTCTGGATTAATAATTACAGCAATGGTTACTGTAGCTGACCTCATCTCATGTTAGATAAACAGTAAAATGACAGGAAATCTGGCGAGCCAGTGTATAACTGGGAGAGTGAGTAAGAGGTTACTGGCATGAAGTGAGAGATAAGAGAGCAGGACCAAGTGTGCCTGGCTGGTTTTAAAGGCTGTAAAATTACAGCGACACTACGTCAACACAATTACAAACACCCTCCTTGTAGCCAAAGCTTTACACAGCCGGCGCTAATGTATGTTAGTCACACAGGAGATGGCGTGTTATTGTCACCTCATCACATGTCTCCACTGTACTTAAGGTTGCCATGATGATGAGGGAGGGCATTGATGTTGATGCCCGAGTGCTGTCAAGATGGAATAAAACACACACACAGAGGGGTCCAGATAGCACATGAACACACTGACACACACAGCAGCAGCAGCAGCGATCATCAAGCCAGTAACCCAAAGAGACATGGTCTCACATTCTCCATAAGAAAACAATGACACATCCATCCATTCCAATCCAAGTACACACATAAACTGTGTACACTCACACTGAGGTCACTGAAAATACCCTGTGACACATGGCAGCCCAGCTGTCTGCTAGGGTGACATCAGAAAGTCAACTGGGAGAGATGAGTTTACTTTTCATCAACAGAGACTGACACTAAACTTAACTACCTGCAAGCAGCTTAACTTAAACACGAAATAAAAAAAAGTCCTGCTCTACAGTTCAACTTGAAAATTTACAGACACATTTCTGCTTAATAGAGACGAAGGCTTCTGTGAGGAAAATCACACTGGACTCATGATCATGTGCCACACAGAAATACTATTCAGTTATTTTTTGGGCGACTACACCACCTTTTGCACTGTGCTACATCATGTCTTTGACTTCTGGAAAGTGTACTTAGACAGGATGTGTCTAACCCAATTCTGAACACAGAAAACACACAACTGGGCAAGAGTGCACTGTGTTGCCATCGGCAGTGCTACCCAGTAGTGACTTCCCTTTTTCCATTTCTCTCTGCACCACTTCATCACTTATGCAACTGCTTGTTTTCCTCTATGGCCCTGTCAGAGCCGAGCACTCGAGCCTCCTTTGTTCACTGGTAGCTCATCAGTCATCTCTTACAACTCAATATTCACGTTTCAATTTAAAGTTGCTGGTTATTATCCAAGAAACATGTTCTTAATTCAAGAGATTTGTATCAAATTCAGGCTTTTTTTGGGGCCGTGTGGCTCAGTGAATCACTGCAGAAAGCTGAAATATGAATGGAGGTGGAATCCCAGAGATATTGACCAGACAGGCAGAGACACACAACACCTGCCTGGCTGTTATGGTTAATGGGAGTTCTGCGTATTACATCACTGCTGTTGGTACAATTGACTGCCTCGTCAATACGAAGCTCCCTGCTGCCTCTGTGCCTGTGCGTTGCTGTTTCTGTGTAGCTTTCAGTTGTCCTCTTTAACTCATCTGTTAATGGAACGTGTGCACATGCACACACACACACACACACACACACACAAAACCCTTCACACCCTGGGGGCACTGATCTGCCTGAATGACTCCCCCACACCCCTCCATTCCTTCCTCCATCATTCTCCTCTGTGGTTCATATCAAGGGAAGACATGACGCCATCCTCTGTGACCCTCCAGCTGTCCCCTCCACTATAAGGGGGCATTAGCATCTCAATGTGGCAACCACCCCCTCCGCCTCCCCCACCCTCCCAATATGACATCATTGCACACATGTCCCACTCAGCTCCACAAAGGCTGTGCTGCAGCCTGGAGAAGCGGTGGGAGTGTGTGCGTGTTTTAGAGGGTAAAGTGGGCCACGTCTGTCAGAAATGTGTAGATTGACAAGCCATAGATGAGACAGTAGGATGAGGTCATAGGTTTTCATGCAAGCTGATGACAGTCAGGAATGGCTGAATGATTAACAAGTCATCCTGGCTGATAGTCAGTGTTCACTGTTAATCTATTTTACTGGAGAGATAGCAGGAACGTGTCTCTTTGATCCACTGCTGCTTCAGCAGAACAGTGTTACTGCAAAGACTATTGCAAACCCTCTTGTAATTTAGCCTGCATTCACAAGTCTATTTCAACAGAGACGTGCTGAAGTGCCTCAAAATAAATTGTGACAGTCATTTCTTTTTTCACCTACTGACAGCAAATGTGTGAATTTGTGAATTTTTTGCTAGCCTTCTCTGAGCTGAGTTTGACACTTTGAGCAGCACACATGCACATCCAACAATAGGCAGAGTGGCAGGTGTGGAGAGCTGCTGTGCTAACTGCTTTGAACCGGCTCTTTTACAGCATATGCCCTGATATGCATATAGCAGCTGTATATCCAAGCTTTACACACATATTCTCACACATTTATGGGATCAAACTATCCTTCAAGAAATGATCTTATGGCTGAACATATATTTTGTGTGACAAGCAGGCAAGTGTGTTGGTGAATATAAAGGATTCTTCCATAGCACCAGTACTCTGCATTGCTTCATCGCTCTGTGTGAAAAGGTGTTATGTTAAGCACCTGCAGTGCACACTGCACACATATTGATAACATAATCTCCACAAGACACCATTCTGCAGAGAGAGCGAGCAGAGGAGAGGAAAGAAAAAGCATCTTTGTGATAGTTTTACATCTCAATGACCACAGGCATGAGCACTATGTCATACTATGGGTCACGGCACTCATTCTCCCCCTGAGCCCCTTTTCTCTCTTCTTTCTCCTCTTCATCGCTTCTCATCTTCATGATGTCATCCTCTTAATCCTCCCTCTTCCTATTCTGTCTCTCTAAACACATTAACTGTGTAAACACAAAGGTGGGAAAACAATTAGAGGGTTTGGCCGGGTCCCTGCGACGTATTCTTTTACCCTTTGTAGCAGTGCTTCTCAATATTGATCCAGTACACATCTTTAAAATTCAGTTCACATCTATCTGTCTTTCTCATGCACCACGCCTGTGCCTTAACACTCATCTGCAGTGCACAAACTACTATCAGGGGCTTTCCCCTCATAAAAACCTTCAATACTTGCATTCAGCAATGGTGCAGTCAAATCAGCAGCAAACTGCCATGCATTTACATCCCTAAAATCCATATTAAATCACATTTGCATCTTCACTATGTATGATAGCACTGTAGCCCCCAAAAGCCTTACATCCCTCAATGTGTTGCTCTCCAGACAGGGATGTTCACATGCTCTTATTAACTTGCCCACTCACACATCTTTTCTCCCCCTATTTGTCCTGTGGATACACACCTCGTAGTTCCCTCCCCTCCTTCATTCGGCGGACCCTGATCTTCAGTCTCATGTCTGTGTCCTGCAGGTCCGGCCAAAAACAGTCCTCCACTGGGGCAATCACCACATCCAGAGGCATCCCCCAGAACAAACTGTCTCTCACATACACACACACACAAACACAGATAAAAATGCTCTGGTACTCCTTCCTTCAGGGATGGATCTGATCAATCCCTCCCACCTTACTGCACAAAAAATGTTCAGAACAATCAAACAGATGTATTCTCCTTAAGGGGCCGACTGAGGTGAGCTCACAGTCTGAGTGTAAAAATCCCAAGTCAACAAAACACGTGCTGGTGCCCACTCTGGTCAAGTCAACTGTCAGTGTCCAAGCGATGACCCTCAGAAAATAGACCAAGTACAATAACTAGTCCAAAATGTCTGTGGACAAGCTCCTCAAGTCTATCACAAAAATCCCATGCAATGACCACAAAAATTCCTAAAATGCTCCTACGTCAATGTTTAGTAATTCTGTGGTTTTGTGAAGAATTGTCGCCTTCAAGGGTGAGAGGAAAAAAATAAATAAATAAAATCGAGCAGACTGTAAAGGCTGTATGGAAAGCCAGCTGTAATCTTCCTGCAGCTGGTTTACAGAGTGTCTGTGTGTCTCTCTGAGCTCTCTCTCTGTCTCTGTGAGTCCACAGCCAGAAGAGCAGCCTACTATTGTTGTGCTGCTACACTCTCCCTGCCTCTCATTCGCTCAGTTGCTGGCTTACACTCCTCCCTCTCCCTCCTACGCTCTCTCTCTGCAAAAAGAACGACAGAGCTGCACTCTCTCCTCGAGCTCTGGGACTGAATGAGCTCACTTGCCGTGAGCTCAGACTCTTCCCAACCCTCCCTCCCTCCCTCCTCCTCTGCTACCTCCCTTGCACCCTGCCTCTCTTGTGGAGCCAGCGCTCCGTCATAGCTAATGTCTAAGGCATGTAACCACATTCCTTACTCACCCAACAAATATGCGGCCACCTCAGGGGCCTAGCTGCCGAACAGGCCTCTATCAAGGAAGGACGGAGGCTAAGATACGACTGTCAAGCTCTTTAACACACTGCTACAAGACTGATTAGTCTTCAAGTAGCAATGCAGTCAATTATGGAGAAGAAAGGAATAACACAGGACTTTGTGTTTATGTGCATGACAATATGTATGCTTCTTCATATGAAATATTTTTGTTTGTTTGTTTGTTGAACTTCACTGTTTCAAAGCAATAACACACAAGACAGAATTATGAGATGATTATCTGTTATCATTACTCTAAACTAACTAGAAATTGTGCAGCTTCCATAAAGCTATACAATACGAAACATCAGTCGAGAGACCTGTCAGTCGACTGAGACTCTTCTAGTCAAACTTTTGTTTTTGTCTTCTTTTCTTTTCCTTGTCAGCCAGTGTACATTACAATTGAAGGTCACCCTAGCAGAAAAGTGTATTTTGTTATCTTCTTCTCCTTATTTTGCTCTGTCACTGAACAGCCAAATCCAAGAATCCTTAGTCAGGTAAGCAGAAGCTACATAAATGCCTCCATTAGGTTGATTGCCATAAATGTACTGTAGCTTCTAAGCACATTACACTTGCTGCGTCAGTGGGGTGGTGGGTGGGTGGGGGGATTAAGACCGTCAGTGTGTTGAAAGCTGATTTGTCTAGGTGAGAGAATGTGTGTGTGTGTGACTTCACCATGTTTCCTGCACTGGTTCATGTCTAACGCACTTGTGTTTGGACACTGTCCTCATCAATGAAGATGAAAAGGAGAGGAGAAGGGGGAGAAAGAAAGAAGAAAGCTGTAGAGACGGGAGGCACAAACAAAAGCAGATAAACAAGGAAGGGAAGCCTAGGTGATGAGAAGACCAAACAAGTTTGTGGTTGGCAGCTGTCATCCATTTCACAGGCCACAGACTCCTGGTACTTTACTATGGCATGGAAAACATGTAGGCCACACCTCCAGCTATAGAAACAAAGCAGCACAGGGCACAATTGCTGGAGGAAGACAATGTTAACTGAATGTTAAGTAATAATTACACAAGTATGGCTGCTTTAAATATATTATAACCCCAAATGCAAAATTGTCCTTAAAAACACAGGACTATTGATTTTATTTTGTATATTTGATATTTTTATATAATAAGCAGATTTAAAAGGGGGAAAACTTCCTCTTTGTTAGGTTTTACCCCTTTAAGTATTAAATAGCACAGATGAGCAGGCAAGTCAAATGTCTTTCCTGACTGTCTGTTCAGTCTCAGGATGAGAAATTATGGTATGCTGATTACATTCAAACAGGTCACATGGTCTTCGGGTGAATTAAGTCAGTGTGCAGTGAGCCCAGCTCCAAAAGAAGCCAAATAAGCTTGTACAAGATGTCTAGCTAGGCAGGCAGCTGCATGCTGACTGACTGACCTCATCACTGAAGACCCCTGAATGATCACACAGGGGTGAGAACAGCCTTACATCACCTTCTATTCAACTCTGGGTCACTGACAGAGGGAACAAGAGAGGAAATGGGTCACTTTGGTGATGACAGGTCCTTTTTGAAAAATGCAGACGCAGTTCAATTTATTCCCCATCTGTAGCTTGTTGGTGCAGGTGTGGCACTCAGTGGTCAACTGGGGTCATAAAAACACTTCAAACACATATTACTGCCTCAGTTTGAATTCACACCTAGGTTTGGTTGTTTCTCTGTGTGGCTCGAAGACATAAACCAACACTGAAGCACAACCAACAGCAATCTAAGACAACAGCAACAACACAAAGTAGCTGTTGGCTGATGTTGTAATGGTCAAAAGCAAACCCCATGCCCCCGTTGTACCCCTCTCCCCCCTCCTCTACTCCTCAGCAGGGTAACACAGCTCAGAATAGTACATGTGTTAATTAGAGGATTATAGCCAGGATGCTATAAACGACAGTCAGGTTTATTTTATTGACTGCACATGTGTGCGCTGCTGTGACAGAAATAGGCAGAACGGTCACTCCAGGCACCCCTCTCCTCTGACATCTATTAGATTTAGATCATGGCTTTATGGTGGAGGGCTTGTTACTAGGACAACGCACAGTTTACACACACACACACACACACACACAGACATGAAGCAAAGTGAAGATGAGTATGAGATAGTGGTGTAGCAGAACAACATCAGACAGCCTGTCCACACTGGAGGCCACCAGGTGTGTTATGATTAGTGCAAACAGTAATGGAGAACAAATGCTGCTCATGTCCAAGCGATGGATGTTACAGCTGTTATAAGTGAAATGGCAAATTAACATATAAGACAGGAAATTGACAGGTGTGACCTGGAAGTTGCTTGCTGTCCTGAATATAAACACGTTTTGACTATGACTGGAATTCATTAACTCATTACACTTACTGCAATATCTTCATCAACATTGCATATATGTTCATCATGAAAGAGCAAAACTTCTAGCTCTTTACTGCCCATCACTGAGCCCTTTTGAATATATTTTAACTTGTTTTTAACTTGTTTTGCAGCACATAGTGATGATGCAATGTCTATTTTTGTCTTGTGTTACTGTTTCACTGTTGAGCAAACTATTGCCATTTGGGAACAAACAGCATTTGACTGATTTTTAGCATTTCTAAATGAAGGTTGTAGTGATAAGTAAGGCAAGGCTAATCCACATTTAGACTTGTGTGCCACCTCATGTATTGGAACATACTGTATATGTATGTCATTCTGAGACAGTTGCAGTGCTGTTGCATTTATACCTGTGCAAACATTAAACTAGGGGGCACTCAAACAGTAAAGTACAGAAAAAAGAATAAGAAGTAGTCAGGAAATGGAAATGGCAGAGAGCCAGGTTCAAAGCTGTTATAATATTCGTCCTAGGAATGCTGTTGTTCAGATTGAAAATCCCTATGATGGGACACACACTGTGATTTTGGGCTCTATAAATAAAACTGACTGAAAACTGAATAAGATTAACTGACAAGTGTGACCCAACAAACCCAATCAAACACTTTCTGTATAGTAGAGTAAGATGAGCTTGTATAGTCCAAGTATACAAACCATTTGTAGTGTGCAGAGGGACAGGGAAATCACATACTTAAAACAATATTGCTGTCACTGATAAGTGTAAACTGCAATGCATACACCCTTAAAACTTCTACTTATTTGGTGCACAACAAAAGGTGACATATTTATGGTTTTGATAATCCGATTTTTTGCATTATATATTACCTCAGGGCCTGTCCCCCTTTCCCTCCCCACTGAGACAGGCAGCGACAGGGGTGCCATTCTACACTGCAGATCATCTGTCAGAATATCACAAGGAAAGACAGACGTCATTCTCCAGAGAGAGCAGGATAGGGTGATGAAGTCTGAGTTGTGTGTGTGTGTGTGTGTGTGTGTGAGTTCATCTTTGTGTGCCGTGTGTCTGTTAGGACCGTGAGTGTGAGCGAGTGTGTGTGATACAATGTGGAAGGAGGATGAGTGGTGCAAGGTGTGAGGAAGACAAGAGGGAACAGTGCTGCCTGGGCTTAGGGATTATTTGCACCAATATGTGTAAATTAAGCATATGTGCTCATGCATAAGCATGTCTGCCTCTGTATGTGCATGTGTGTGTGTGTGTATGTGTGTGTTGATAATGTTGGCTGTCAGGGGATCAGTAACAAGGCTGCTCTTGCAGTGATGTAATGCCTATAGGAGAACACAGCTGCCATGCCTGGGGGGTGAGGTAGTTACTGAGGGAGAGAGACAGGAGGATGGAGCTATTGAGGGTGGGGGTGCTGGAAGTCTTAGGGGATGGGGTGTTTGAATCCATAGGGAGATGGCAGCTGAAATGATGTGGTCATATTGCAAGGGGTTACATTAGTGGTGTAGTGAGCTACAATGTGTGGACCAAATGTTTTTCAGCGCCATGGCTGTGATGACATTTTGGTGTTGTGAGGACACTTTAGCTGTTCAGGAGTTAGGGAAGGCTAAGGGTTAAGGTTAGGTATAGGAGTGGGGTTAGGCTTTTAGTTGTGATGTTTAAGGTTAGGTTGAAGGGCTTGGGAATGCATTATGACAGTGAGTGTCCTCACAAATGTCTGTGTGCTGGTGTGCACATGCTGGGGCTGGGTATTATTCAATACTCTTGAGTATTGACTGAAATATGTGTGAACATGAGTAATGTATTCTTTGATGCTGTATTTAACATTGGTGCATGATGCTGTTTGGCATATTTGGCAAGTGAGAGCAGAGTGCATGCAATTAAGGGTACAGTGATGCGCTACTTGTTTGTGTGAGTGTGCATAAGGTAGTTTTGTCTCTATCTGCACAGCCTGGAGGGATTCCTGCTCACATCAGCCATGCAGCAGACCTCCTGCCCTCCAAACAACATAACCCCTGTGGAGGAGCTCAACACCCAGGGAAATGCACCAGTAGATCTGTCGCACTGGCAAGAAATTAGCTTACACTTACAGATATAAACCTATACATATACATATACATATACATATACATATATACACTCAGAGACCCACACACAAAGGAGAGATGAGTGTAAGCTATTAAATGCACCAAGGGGGGCTTTCAGGACCAGATGAACTACTTAAAAATCCCAGTTGGAGATGTTCAGTGGTGTGTAAATGTGTGTGGAGAGAAGGGGGGCTATAAAGGATCAAAATGAACGCTGCTGGCCACCACAGGTACATACTTACAGTATGCTGACATGCATAAAAAGCCTGTGCATTCACTTTATAGAAAAGCATAGAAATTCAATGTGAGATGGCTCGCAGCTGTTTTTTGAGGTTGTATACAGATGAATAATTTGTGTGTGTGAGCAGTATTTGTGCAGTAAAGGCTAAATATGTACAG